TCAGGATCTCGCCAGTTTGTGGGCTAGAGCCCTGCATCGGGCTCTGTGCTGACACTGCAGAGCCTTCTTGGGATTCTCTCTCTCTCTGTCTCTCTCTCCTCTCTCTGCCCCCCCAAATAAATAAATAAACTAAAAAAAAAAAAAAGTTCAGTCCCATTGTAATCAAAACCATTATCTCCCAAATGATTTCAAGGTCTCTCTGCAGCTAGGCCCGAGCACACCTCCATGCTGGGTTCCGTCGATGCGGAGGGGAGGGTGAGATATCTCTTTCTCACCCTCTTTTCCCACTTGGCTCAGCTGCTTCCAGTTCCTGGGAGGCGGCAGAGGGAGAAGGAAGTAGAAAGCACGAGGTATTACTTAACTAGTGCTGGTGCATCTGGCCACTCAGTGTCCTCTGGCTAGTGGGAGCCCACGTGTGGTACACAGAATGTCCTCCCCAACCATGTCCACCTCCTAATCTGTGAAGCCTTCCATGCTAAAAGGGACTTGGCAGATAGGATGAAGTTTAGATGGGAAGATGAACCTGGGCTGTCCAGACGGGCCCAATGTAATCACAATGGTCTTTTATCAGAGGGAGGCAGGAGGGTCAGAGTCAGAGAAGATGTGATGATGGAAGCGGATGGAGGTCAGCGTGAGGCCATTACTGGCCGGGAGTAGGGCACCAGGAGATGAGGCAGCACCGTAAGCTGCCAAGGAAAGGAATTCTCCACCAGAGCTCCCAGAAGGAGCGTGGGCTTGCCGACACCCTGATGTTAGCCCAGTAGGACCCAGCTTGGACTTCTGACCTCCAGAACTGTGAGATCAGAAATGTGTTGTTTTAAACCACTAACTTTCTGGTAATCTATTACAGTAGCAATAGGAAGTAGCTGACTTGTGGGACTCTTTGTGGGGTTTCCAGACCTCCATAGAGGGACTCTTGGCATTTATCTTTCCCAAAAGCAGTACTTCTCAACCAGGGTCAATTTTTTATATCCACTCCCCCCACCCAGGGGATATTTGATCATGTCTGGAGATATTTTGGATCATCACGACTGGGGGGAATGCCAATAGCATCTAGCAGATGGAGGCCCGAGACGCCAACTATCCTACAACGCACAGGACAGGCTCCTACAACAAAGAAGTATCAAGTCCAAAATGTCAGTAGTGTCAAGGTTAAAAACCCTAATCTAAAGCAAGCAATGAACTTGTTGGCCTCTTGCAATCTCTCTCCTGTCCAATAGACAGCACCTCTCTTACCGTCAAGAGGGTCCTTTCGGAACAGCTTGAGCCTGACTCACTTCTACAGTGTGTGCGTGAAGGGAAAGCATTACCCTTCTTTGCTCCACCAAACACTGGCAGTCAGACAGCCCCTACACCGCCCACCTTTTCTCTGTGCTGCACCATTAGTGGCAACAGTAGGCAGCCTCTTCCCTTCTCATTTCACCAAGCAAAAGTCAAGCATCAATCTCTAGATCGCTACTGCCCTCTAAAACTGGGCAATGGTTCTTAGCCAGGAGTAATTTTGCCCCCCACCCAGGGGATGTGCAATTGTGGGAGGTGGGGACATGCTACTAGCATCTAGTGGGTGGAGGCCAGGGACACTGCTGAACATTTCTACATTTCATGGCAAAGATTTATCCACCCAGAATGTCAATAGTACCAAGGTCTAGAAGTTCAGCTCCAGGAAGTCCAGGTGAACCTCTCTGAAGAACGTTCTTGCTGTCTCCTCTGACAGCAACAAGGGTAGATGGTGAGTAAGATGCTGGTCTCCCATGGGGCGCCTGGGTGGCGCAGTCGGTTGAGCGTCCGACTTCAGCCAGGTCACGATCTCGCGGTCCGTGAGTTTGAGCCCCGCGTCGGGCTCTGGGCTGATGGCTCAGAGCCTGGAGCCTGTTTCCGATTCTGTGTCTCCCTCTCTCTCTGCCCCTCCCCCGTTCATGCTCTGTCTCTCTCTGTCCCAAAAATAAATGAAAAAAACGTTGAAAAGAAAAAAAAAATTAAAAAAAAAAAAAAGATGCTGGTCTCCCTTTCCGCCAAGGGTCTTGATTCTACCAGTGATGCCCTGGCATCTCCCAACCTCCCTTGTCTTTGTTGGGGGAAGCAGAGGACAGCATTCTAGGGACACAGACAGGAAAGCTGCATGATCTCCTCTTATACAAATTCCCTTTGAAGGATCCTCTCTTACGTAAATTGAAGGCAGAAGATGAATTAAGGATTCTGTCTCTAGATTATGTGGTCACATATCACTGACTGTATCCCACCTAGACGGCTTAGCCAAAACTTTAAAATCCTCATTTAACGTCCTGTTACACACCTTCCATAAGATGTTCAAGGCACTGTTAGGACTTAGAGATTTCCCTGTTAATCCTTCAGGGGAGGAAGCATTGTAGGCAAGCATTTTCATCAAATAATGACTTTCATTTTCTTAATGTATCTTTCACAAAAATTTATGGCACGGGAGTGGAGACATGCTCTAATAATGTAAGTAACAGAGAAAGGACATATACAAACAAAAGAAGAGAGAACAGAGAGCACAGTGGGGTTTGTGGGCTTCATCCATTCATTCATTAATTCAAACGGTCTGCTGAGATGTTGCCTTCCTGTTGAAAGCCTCCCTCATCACAGTGTTTAAATAATCTACCACTGCCTTTTGCCCACTTTCTCTGTCCGATCATTGTACTTTTTTTATTATGATGTAATCCTATGCCATAAAAATTCACTCCTTTAAGTATACGATTCAGTGGGTTTTAGCATATTTACAAGATGTATGCAACAATCACCACTATATGATTGTAGAAGTTTCATCACCCCAAAAAGAAATGCTATTTATTTCACAGTTATTCCCGATTTCTCCCCTCCCTAGTTCATATCAACCACAAATCTACTTATCTTCTATCTGTATCAGATAGATGTATGGCCTGTCCTGGACATTTCATATGAGTGAAATCACGTGATATGTGGCCTTTTATGTCTGGCTTCTGTCACTTAGCATTTCCCTAATGACTAATGGTGCTCAGTACTTTTTCATGGGCTTATTAGTTATTTGTATATCTTATTTGGAAAAATGTCTATTCAAATCCTTAGCCCACTTTTTAAATTGGGTTGTCTTTTTATTGTTGAGTTGTAAAGGTTCTTTATATATTCTGGATACTAAACTCTTATCAGATATAGAATATGCAAATATTTTCTCCCAGTTATATGAGTTGTCTTTTTGTTTTCTTAACAGTAACCATTGAAGCACAAAATTTTTTTAATTTAGATAACATCTAATTTCTCTATTTTTTCATTGCTTATGCTTTAAGCATCATATCTAAGGAGCCAGTGCATAATCCAAGGGCATAAAGATTTACACCTGTTTTTTTTTTAATTTTTTTTTAACGTTTATTCATTTTTGAGAGACAGAGTGCAAGTGGGGAAGGGACAGAGAGAGGGAGACACAGAATCCAAAGCAGGCTCCAGGCTCTGAGCTCTCAGCCCAGAGCCCGACATGGGGCTTGAACCCACGAACTATGAGATCATGACCTGAGCCAAAGTTGGATGCTTAACTGACTGAGCCACACAGGCACCCCTACACCTCTGTTTTCTTCTAAGAATTTAATAATTTCAGTTCTTACATTTCAGTCTTTGATCCATTTTGAGTTAATTTTTGTATATGGTGTGAGGTAGAAGTCTAACTTCATTCTTTTGCATGGAGTTAGTCAGTTGTAGGTATTAGTTTTTTAAAAGACTATTCTCCCCCCATTAAATAGTCTTGGCATCCTTGTTGAAAATCAATTCTTTACTTTTTTATGGAAGCTATCATCTAAAATTATATCATCTGTTAACTTGTTTATATCTACCCTTCCCAAATTCCCAAACTCTCTCACTCCCCTCCGTCTCCCCCCCCCCCCCAAACTAAACTGTAAGATGAAGACAGGAAGTTGTTTGTTTACTATTTATCTCTACTGCCTGGGACATAGTAGGCACTTATGTATTTGTTGACTGAATAAATGAGATTCCAGTTTCCTTTAGAAACAAAGGTCATTGTGTTTATCTATACCATTTAAGTGCAGGAACTCATTTAATTTAAGGCAAAAAATAAAATAAAATAAAATAAAATAAAATAAAATAAAATAAAATAAAAT